GCAAAGTCGAAATAATTTTTCGAAACATCCGGATTTATTTATCTTCGACGAATTTTTTTTTCTTAGATTTAATCATTTTTAGGTATCACAATTTTTCGTTTTTTCATTTTCTTTGATTTTTCTATTTTTCTTTTTTTTAATGTTTCGGTTTCATAATTTTTCGTTTTTTCGACTTTTATGTTTTCAATTTTTCGTTTCTTCAACTTTTCGATCAACAATTTTTCACTTTTGCAATTTTTTAGAATAACAATTTTTTTTTTTCGATTTTTTAGTTTTCAATTTTTCCTTTATTTTTTCAAGGTTTCTTCCGATGTAACAATTTTCCTTTTATTCAATTTTTCAAATTTTCATCTTTTGCTTTTTATTTTTCAATTCCTCAATTTTCATACTTCAAAATTTTTCATTTTTGCATATTTTGAAATTGTGAATGATCCAAATTTCCGATTTCTTTAATTTTTTCGATGTTCCGATTTTATAATATTTTGTTTTTTCAATTTTAGACTTTTTCAATTTTTAGGTATCTCAAGATTTAATTTTCCCCTTTTTCAATTTTTCGTTGCTTTAGTTTTTCAAGTCCTTGATGTCCAATTGTTGGATTTTTGTTTATATTCACTCCATATTTTTTCGTTTTTTCATTTTTGATTTTTAAGTATTACAATTTTTCTGTTTTTTGATTCGAAAAGTTGATAAATCGAAAAATTCAAAACAGAACAATTAAAAATCAAAATCTAAAAAAGTGGAAAACGAAAAATTGGAAAGAATCCAAAAATTGTAAAATGGAAAAATTATAGAATTGTCAAAACTGTAAAGTCGAAAAACTGTAACAGCGAGAGATGGAAACAACTGAAAAATTAAATATCCAGAAACTGAAAAATTAAAAATCGAGAATCTGAAAAATGGAAATATTTTAAAACCGTAAAATTGAAAAAGCGAAAAATTTTAATATATAATTACTATTACAATTTTAAAATGAAAACTAGAATAATGGCAAATCAAAAATTGAAGAAAAGAAAAACTGACAAATTGAGAAACTGAAAATCTATCATCGGAAAAACGAAAAATTAAAAAATCTAATAACAATTTCAAAAATCGAAAAATTGGAGGTGGAAGTACTGCAAATCAAAAAATTGAAAAATTCAAAAACTGAAAAATTTCACATTAAAAAAAAGGAAAACTTTGAAAAATTAGAAATTGAAAAATCCGAGACTTGGGAAATTGAAAAATTGAAAAATTTAGAAATAAAAATTCGCAGTTTGAAGAAACAAAAAAAATAATTGAAATTGTAAAAACAAAAAATTATAAAAATCGAAAAATTGTAAAAATAAATAAATTAAAATACCGAAAGGAAAAACTGTAAATCGGAATATTGAATAAATCAAAAAATGGAAAAATCTTAAAACTGAAAAATTAAAAAATAAGAAAGAAATAAAAAAAATAAAAAATTGGTCTAAAGAGTTTAGACAGTACTTCCCTCGCTGTCGGAAACTTGACGACTGCATGCCTATTGTGTTTTTTTTCTCATTACATTTTTGTAGTGGGAATTTAAAAAAAAATTGCGATGACGTCATCAACATTTTTGCAAGGACACGTATATCAGTTGGGATAGATGTAGTGTAATACTAAGAATAAAATTATTATATTCTCAAATTTTCGGGAAAATGAATTGGGTCGTTTGAATATTGATTTGTAATAATCAATAAAATAACGAAACAATTTACTCACGTATACCTACGTATCAGAGGCAACTGAAAATCGTGTATGTATAAACATTGTTAATTTAAGATGACAGGCGTAACAGCATACGTGAGAGCCAAACACAGAAACTGTAAACAAAACGACCGTCGGTTTTATTGCTTCGACTTCCGCTTATTATATAAAACATTGGGTTTTATTTTAATTCTTGACGGTGAAATTCACAATTGGTTGATTATAAACATGTCTATTTCACATTCGCGGAATCAAGTGAACGCATAAAACAAATGCAGGTCTGTAATGTTAAAGTCGATGTAAATAAGCGTGCTACCCTTATGTTTCAACCGAGTTTTTCCTTTAACAAATTTTGTGTCTACCAAATTGGGTTGGTTGGGGTGTAATACTAATAATAAGTGTTGCCTTTAATTTAATCAATAAAATAAATTGACTTCATTAATTTTTTTGAACCACCTCTTAAGAAAATCTAAAAAATATGAATGGAATGATAAATCACAAGTACAAACTCATCATATTTTTTGCATTTTAGATACGATTTATTCGGAAAACTTTTGAGCTGACGTCATCAGTTTTTTGTAGAAGATAACCAAATATATTTTGACTAAAAATTTATTATGCTCTTTATAACCTTAAAACATCTGCAAGATTTCAAAGCATTCGGTTTTGTAGTTCCTGATTAAATCAATAAAATAAATTTACGCATTCATTAATTTTTTTGAGTCACTCTGTATATGCAAATCCAAAAAATATGAATGGAGTGATAAATGACAAGTACAGGCTCATCATATTTTGTACATTTTAGATATGATTTATTCGGCAAACTTTCGAGCTGACGTCATCAAGTTTTTGGAGGGGATAAGCAAATATATTTTGACTAAACATTTATTATGCTCTTTATGACCTTAAAACATCTGCAAGATTTCAGAGCATTCGGTTTTGTAGTTCCTGATTAAATCAATAAAATATATTTACGCATTCATTAATTTTTTTGAGTCACCCTGTATATGCAAATCCAAAAAATATTAATGGAGTGATAGTTCACAAGTACAGACTCATCATATTTTGTACATTTTAGATATGATTTATTCCACAAACTTTTGAGCTGACGTCATCAAGTTTTTGGAGGGGATAAGCAAATATTTTTTGACTAAAGATTTATGATGCTCTTTATAGCCTTAAAACATCTGCAACATTTCAAAGCATTCTGGTTAGCAGATTAAAAATTAAATTTCAAAATGTTGTTTTATAATTTTGATTTTTTTTCCAAAAATCTGGACGTTTCGGGTGAAAAGTCGATTCAGAGTTGTAAACTACATGTGTAGGACTATGTTATTTTATACAATTGAAAACCCATTTACTATGTACAATTTTGAAGTGACGTCATCGCTTTAGTGGTGGGGATGATTCGACAAATTTTGGTTAGCGTTTTACCATCTACATGATATTCTTAATATAAGTACAAAATTTCACAACAATCGGTCGAGTACTTTCGGAGATTATCTGTCTAATAAAAATCCGTGACAACAGACGGACAGACGGACAGACGGACGGACAGACGGACAGACGGACAGACGGACAGACGGACAGACGGACAGACGGACAGACGGACAGACGGACAGACGGACAGACAGACGGAAATGGGAGACCTATTTCTTCGTCTTCTAGGGGTCATGAAAGATCGAGAAAACGTAAAAGTAGAGAGTCGGCCGACGGACTCGATTACAATACTTCCTTTGCTTACGCTCGGGAAGTAAAAAGGGAACGTTGGAAAATCGAAACGTTGTGAAAATAAACAAAATAAAAAACGGAAACGAAATATTTCAAATCGAAAATTTGAAGAAATGAAAAATAAAGAATCGAAAAATTGCAAAATTGAAAAATTGAAAAATTCAAAAGTTGGAAAATTGAGAACTGAAAAGTTAAACTTGAAAACTTTAAACTGCAAATCGAAAAACTGAAGAAACAAAAAAATGAAAAATTGAAGAATTGAATAATTCCGGTCAAAAAAACTACGTTAGTGTTATTTACGCCAGTTGTTTTAACTTTATAAGGTTATCAGGAAACAAAAATCGCAAAAACTTCTTATAACTTTTCAAAGAAGCGGGATTTGTTGGCTTGTACTTCAGGGGCGAGCGAAATTCTGTTGAAATAACCTTGAACTAAGTTTTTTGTGGAGGTAATAAAGTATTTTTGAAATTTATAAAACCGACCAGTTTTAATTAAAATATTTAAAAAATTGTGGTTATACCTGATATATCTTTTATGCAAAAGTATTAATGACTTATCTACCATTTAACAAAATATAAATTAATAATTGAACTTGTAAGTAGAGTTTTTATTAAAATATGTAATTGTTTAGATAATAGAAAATCTTGTCAATTTGAATTGTTTTAGTTTTAAGCTTCCAATTATTTTCCTCATAAGCTGCATTTATTATAACCAACAGCTTTTTTTATTTCCATACTTTCGCTTTATTTTTGGTGTACAAGGTTAATCACCAAAATTATTCAAACACGTTCGAGTCTTGTAAAAACATGTTCCTTGTAACAATTCAATGTCGAATTGCCCGAAGCATCAAAATTTTTGAATCTGACGTGATTATAACGATCTGCACATTCTCAAAGTTAACAAATCATTGTTTAAAAAAACTTAACCTTGCTTCGTAAAATAATCTTAAATTTGACACAGATGTATAAACAAGCTTTAAAACTAATTAATAAAAACTCGTACTACGTCAAACTTGTACAATTAAAACGCGACGAATACACAAAATAATTTTCAAATGAATTATTGATAATGAGTGATCATTTATCAAGTAATATTACTATTACGTGAGTCCTAGATGCTTTCTTGCGTCAAGGAAATTATGGTCAATTATGGTACGTAGACACTGTTTAAGTGTAAATTGGTACCAACTATTCGAAAATATAAAAAGTTTTCAAACCTTTAAACAGTTGGGTCGCACGACATGTTTATCGGAAAAATTAATTACAAAACTAATTGCTTTAATAAATTTTAAACTAAAAGCACCGAAATCTGAAATTATACTTTTTTTTTACTTATTGAAGGTTCAGCCTGAAGTATATTCAATCTCAGTATTTTTTTTTATTTTACCATAGTTTAAGTTGTAGATTTATTTTGATTGATATTTAAAGTATATATACTTTAAATTCGTTACTAAGAATCTTATTAGAACTGCGTTAAACATAATAGACATAAAAAACTCAACACTGTAATATACTACATAACTTTTAATTTAAAAACAATGATAATATAATAATTTAACATACCTTTGACAAGTAAGTACACTAGTGTGTGAAAAAAATAACTAACACCACTTGTTTCACTCTTTAAACATACTTCAAATAGTGCGCGTGGTACTGAGTTCTTTTTCAGCGCATTTAGTACTGTTCACCGGTCCGACACGCTTGCAACTGCGTTCCTTGTTGCCACAAACAGATTTTTACCATCCTGAACCTTCACTATCCACACTGCACATGTTAATTAAATCGCAACAATAAACAATGACTCGGACGAAACAATGTTAAAAACGCGTTTCTTCAAGAAGTTCGAAGAACTTAGTCACTCGATAATTTGTGAAGCAACTGAAGGTCGCAGTCTATATTTGTTGATAATTACAGAGTTTCTTGCCTTATTTCCTAAAAGCGCTGATTGCGTTAAGTAGTTTGTTTCAAAGGTACGCGAATTACAAAAAACAGGCCGAATTTTCGCAAGAAAATCGATTGACTGTCCGGGGAAAAATTTGTTTAGTACTAAAATGGAGGTTTAGAAAAATTCTGACACCTTTTGTTATAAAACGTCTGAAATTTAATACTGCTCAATACTAAAAACGATTAATGTTTATTCGGACAATATTTAATTTGCGTCAGGCGAATGCAGTGGCGTAGACCTAGGAAGTAGAAATTTCTAATGGCCCGAAGCATTTATTTAATTCCAAAAGTTAATAACATATGTTGTCATACATCACGAAACTACAAGAATATTGTCAAACTGACCAGTTTTATATTTAACGCAAATCGTTATCTACATATATACATTTATAAAAAATAGAGAATATCGTATTAAACCGAGTATCTTCAAATCATTTGCCTTATCAGCATACCACTAAAAAACTGACTCAACTTTACTGTTAACTTTACCATGAAAATTAGTAGATAATTTAAATTCGCAAAGTCGTGACTGTAATTCCTGTTGTAAAAGACGGCAAAGACCAAAGCCAGCTTTAAAGGTACGACCACTAACCGGTACTTTATATTGTTTGTCGTAAAATGATCTATCATAGAAAAATCAGTCAGTCGAAGGAATAATTGCAGGCATTTCATTTAATTGCAGATAATAACCACAACATTAGCATTTTTCTTAAGCAGTACCAGCTATTGTTTTGGCGTCCTGAGAAAAGGTACCTACATTGTTCTAAATACGTTACTGTGATGTAAGTTTTACGATAAGTTATGCAATGGAAATTTTAAATAACAATGGTGTGAAACTTTCCCACGGAAAACGTAACACATAAGTGTCCTCTTATATTCATATATGTCTAAAGTTAGAAGAAATAAGTAATTCAGCGGAATGTTGTTTTATTCATAGACATATTGTTTGAGTTATAATTTCATTTATTCAAATAATCCTTGTTTTTTAATTACAATTTTTATTGATACAAGATTTAGTTAATAATTTAGTGACAATTAATGATTGTTTTTAATCAGTAATACTTATCTAGTATTTGTAAATTTTATTGATGACCAGTAAGGAAAGTAAACAAGGCGTTCTGCTATAATGCTGTACAAATTAAAATTAAAATGGAAAAAATACAATTTAAAACCGAAAGTTACAGTACATATTGTTAATCATTTTAAATTAAATTAAAATACCTTAACCTAACAGAAAAGTAGAAAAATACACTCACATTTAAAGTTTGCACGCTTGAAAATCCTCTATAGAGTGTACGCTTTGTTTATTAAAAGTGTTTAATTGTGCGTGAAAATTTCCCTAATGGCAGTTGCTTAATGCTGACAGAAACGTTATTAAACATTTTTGGCCCATAATAGTTTATAGCATTTCTACATTTCCCTAAGCGATAAAATTCAGTAATAATGTCATTTTTACTTCCCGAGCGTAAGCGAAAGAAGTATTGTAATCGAGTCCGTTGACCGACTCTCTACTTTTACGTTTTCTCGACCTTTCATGACCCCTAGAGTACGAAGAAATAGGTCTCCCATTTCCGTCTGTCTGTCTCTCTGTCCGTCTGTCAGTCTGTCCGTCCGTCTGTCCGTCTGTCTGCCGTCACGAATTTTTATTAGACAGATAATCTCCGAAATTTATTTTTATTTATATTGGAAATATCATGTCGATTGTAAAGCCATAACCAAAATTTGTCTAGTCATCCCCAATAATGTGATTACGTCACTTCAAAATTGGACATAGGAAATGGGTTTCAAATTGTCTGAAATAAAATAGTCCTACACATGTAGTTTATGATTCCGCATTGAGTTTATACGCAAAACGTCCAGATTTTTGGAAAAAAAAGTCAACATTATAAAAAACATTTTGCATTTTAAAGTTATGATAAGTATAATAAATTTTTAATCAAAATATATTTACATATCCCTTCCAAAAAAGTGGTGACGTCAGCTCAAAATTTTATCGAATAAATCCTATCTAAAATGTCCAAAATATGATGAGTCTGTATTTGTGATTTATCATTCCATTAATATTTTTTGAATTAATACAGGGTGACTCAAAAAAGTTAATGAATGTATGAATTTACTTTATTAATTTAATCAGGAACTGCAAAACAGAAAGCTATGAAATCTTGCAGATGTTTTCATAAGCATGGTAAATTTTTGATCAAAACGTATTTGCTCATCTCGGATGCAAAATTGATGACGTCACCCCAAAATATTGCTGAATAAATCCTATCTTAAATGTACAAAATATAACGAGTCTATCTTTGTGATTTATCATTGCATTCATATTTTTTAAATTTGCTTATACAGGGTGTCTCAAAAAAATTAATGACTGAGTCAATTTATTTTATTGATTAAATCAAGAATTGCAAAACTGAACACATTGAAATCTTACAGTTTCGAAATTATTGTAAGCATTGTAACTTTTTAATCAAAATATATGTGTCAATCAACCCCAAAAAATTGATGACGATGATATAATGAGTTTTTACTTGTGATTTATGATTGCATTCATATTTTTTATTGATCAAATTAAGAACGAGTCACCCTATTTTCCCGAAAATGTGAAAATACAAATGTCTTTAGTTAATAAGAATTATGTATTTAACAATGATATTAAAAATATTTTGTCGATTGTACCAACTCGTTCAAAAAGCACAAATTTCTACGTGACATTCTTCCGATGTATAAACATAAACACTTTCACGTTGTTTTTCTTATAATTCAAGGATAAGCTGAGGACGTACAGTAATGGAGTCCATCGGGCAATTTGGACTTTCATATTTTTTCGATATTTCATAGCTAGACAGGGCCATAGATGGGCTGTTGCCTAGGCTAGGGAGCCTCCCCTAGATCTAGACAAGTTATAATTGACCAAATGTGAATCACAACAACGAAAATCAAAATAAAATGTAGTGTTTTATTCAATAAGTGGAAGTCAGAGTAATAAAAAAGTCTGGACCGTCGGCAGTGTGATCCGGTTATTGCAATTCGTAGGAAACATCTTTTAGTTTAGTCTCTGTTTCACTCTCACGTCTGCAGGTTGATAAGTGTTATCGCTATTTGTCTTAAATTACGAATACAATAAATGATTTTCAATTCAGTCTTTAGTCGCACATCTTTTATTTATTACCAGTGTTGGGGACAGATACTTTTAAAAGTATCTAGATACACATATAGATATATGGAAGATAAAAGTATCTAGATACAGATTGTTTTCGATTTTTTCGAAATGTATCTAGATACAGATACAAGAAAACATATACTTTTTGAAGGTTTGGGGAATAAAATAACTGAAAACATGTTTATGTATTTGTTTATGTATTGGTTAGTGAATTTTTTAAAATTAACAACATATCAAACGTATTGTCACCTAAATTATTTCTTCTTGGTGTCAGAATTTGGTTTCCGCTACTAAACACTCGTTCCACAGGTGCAGAAAAAGGGATTGTGGTATTAAATTTAAAAAATAAACATTTTACTGTAGCATAGTTATTCAAGACTGAAAAATCTTTTCTTTTTTCCTGCAAATAGGCCATCGCTTCGTAGTTTGATGTGTCGCAAATTGTGCAATATTTATTTTGTACGCTTAAAAAGAATATTTTTTTTTTTGTTTTTATTCCCATACTAGAGTGTAAAAATTGTGTTTGAGTATATCTAATAATTATCTCCAGCATTAAAATTACTATTTCAAAAGAATACGGGAAATGATTATTCTGTGCTGAAGCTCTGTTGTCGGCAACCTGTCATAAATTATTATTCTTCAATATCGGCTTACGATGTTTTTATGGCCATGTCCGGTAATCGTCTATCCCGGTGCGGCAGGTATATACATTTTAGGAAGAATCGCTGGTTCCGTTTAAGGCAAAATAAGTACAATTTCTTAGAAACGTATTTAAACCCCTTATAGCCCTCAAAGGCTGCCTGGCAGGTCGGAATCACCAGAGTGCAACTTTAAATTTCCAGATTTTTGTTGAAACTCATTTTATTTTAATCTCGTTTCACGATTTTTGAGAATATATCACGATAAATTATTCTACCGAGGGTTGTAAAAATATTAATTTTATTGCCCAAGATTTACACTTAAACATAATCGGCACATTCTAGGGCAAAACGGACCTACCAAGCCCGCCTTGCGTTAGGTCCAACAATGAAAAAGTGAAGAAATGACACATGTGGCAACAGGAAAAGATGCTACATTTGTCTGAAAAATAAAGATATAAAACAGTAACAAATATGCGATTTATGCCAGAGAAATGTATGTATTGAACATTCGATTAGTCGATTACAGAACTAATTTGTGCTAATTGAAAAGATTAATAATTATGTAACACGCAATTATTATTTTCTAAAAATAATAACATACCTTAAACAAATATTTTTACTATTAAAATTACTCTTATTTGATAACACAAATACACAAAATCAAATCTCTTAATTTTTCGAAAGAGCTGGATTTGACAAACTGTACTTTATGGGCGAGGGAAGTTCTCTCGAAGTAATCTTCGACCAATTTTTTCATTTGTATTGACGTAAAATACGCCTGTATGCAAAGAGAGTTGTTCTTGTGAAGCACCAAAATCCACTAATTGAGGTTCTTGTGCCCTATATTTTAATACATATATAATTTTCGGGGAACTCAATGTGAATAACTACTTCATTAATTTTTAATCTCTCTTTTAAATTTTTGATCATAAGCTACCGATAGTGAATCCTAAATACATACATGTTTTTTAAACTCGGTCTGTATCACACGTATCGCGATCAGACAAATTTGGAGTG